CTTGTATTCTAATCAATGTTACTGAATTATCTTTGTTATTTCAAAATAGGAATACCTAGTATATGCCAATCTTTACATCAGTAATTAGAGGGTTAAAATTTTCAGTCAAGATAAACCTTGTCCCTTAGCTTACAATTTTAATGCAAATTAGGAGCTGGGAATTCACACTTTATTCTGCATTATTAGACATTTTGAGCTTTATTTAACTGTTTTCCTTATAAGCTATACAGATGGTATAAAGCAAGTGAATTTTCTTCGCATAAGAAATCCATTTTTTTCCTTGTACAAGATTACAGATTGACTCTTGACCCATCTGTGTGAGTAAAAAGTGCTTTTTAAGCATTGATATGTCCCATTTTCATAACAGCAAACAAAAAAAGTAAAGGCACCAAGGAATATAGCTTACATTTTTAAAATACAATTTTTCATGTGTCTTTATGCAAGTAACATTCCTCATCTAATGAAAGATATTACATCGAGTTGTTGCTAATTTCTGTATGTTGAGATATAGAAGTCTAAATGCAGTAACTCTGTGCAAAGTATGCAGTGGTTAAACTGGTAATCTAGGGGAAGTTCCCTTACCCTCATTATCTCTACCAGAGTAGGTAGGTGCTTGTAAGTTTGCAACAGAGGACCATTGATAAGAGCAGATCTGCTTGGGCTAGCTCTTCTTATAATTTTTTCTAATTCAGTGACAGAAGCTTTTGATATGCTTTTGAGATAGATTTTTAAATGAAATGTAAAGCCATTCATTTTTCAATATATATATATACGTAAAGGAAATGTAATTGGGAACCACATTTTGAAGTCTTGGATTTTAACTGGCATTATTTTAATTTTGTTTATGTACAAAGCGATTGGACAACCAGCAGCATTCAAAATATAGGACCAGCCCTGAAACTTACTTCTTGAAGGGAAAGTGCCATTTTTAAACTTGGAAGATTCACCACCTGGCTTTTAGTTGACATCTTCCTTTAGTATATATATATATATATATATCTAACTTCAAGAAAGCTGTTAAGGTTCACTAATGGGTTTAGACTAAGATCTTAAAATGTGCAGAACATTACTTCAGAGCACAGATAATAAGAAAGTTCTATTTGTAAAAACAAAAATGAATTGTACCTTAAGTGGGAATTATGTAATAGTCTATGAAAGTCTAACTTAACAGTTACTTCACAGAATCATGCTAGTAGATTGCCAATTCTAGGTAAGCCTCTAATATCAGAAATTGTTTCTTTAAGCATTTCCACTCTAAGCATCATGGGTCAAAAAAGCAAGGCCAATGGTTAAGTGACCCCTAGGTTATTAATCAATTAATATTTAATACTTAAATTTATTTAGGTCTGACTGAAGAACTATTAATTTACTGCATGATTGGGTGCTGAGTGTTCTAGGTCTGTTAGGTGAAGTTACTAATAATGCACCTGAGTGCAGTGCTGTTGTATACAGTTAGATGGAATGTACCACAGGATGGAATGTAACAACTCAAAAATAAGTGTACTTAACATTTGAGTTCACAGTGACTATAAACTGAAATTCTTTTTAGAACAAACTGAACACTTGCATTTACACTCACATTATTCTTTATCAGTGCTTTTGCATTCTTCTGACTATACATTCAGTAGTAATAGTACCTCCAACAGCAAATATATTAATAGAAAATGCATGGCAGCACATACAAATTTCATTACAAACTGCATTATCTTGTTCCTATGAGAGTAGCAATATTTAAACAGATGCACCAAAATGATGTATTTATGCATAAAACCCAATAACAGTAAAACGTAACATTAAAAAGTCCTTCCCACTTTAAGTTCCTGTCTAGACCTTAAAAATCCCAGATCAAGAAGAAAAAAAAATTCTAAGGGGAAGGAATCTGTTGGCACTGATACACCTCGACCAAAATAAGCCAGTGTTTGCAGAGAATCAGCCATGTACGGAAAGGTTTAAAAACCTAACTCTCCAGTTTGTTTATACATGGGTTTACCAAAGGGAATGCATGACCTCTTTCCCTCTCCTTCCCCTCCCAAGTACAGAACATGGAGTTTATTTTCCTTAACTTTCTCCTTCCGCTTCCTATACTTATTCCTAATTCTGTTTGACACCCAAAATTCCTATGCCAGAGGGCACATACTATAAATTGTGCCCAAAAGGATAATTTTTACCCGAATACATTGGACTTGGGTCTCAGTTTGAAGGAAGATGTGGAGGAGCTGCTTTTAAGGGACCTTTCCTCCTCTGATAGTGGTTGTTCAGGGTCCCTAAAAGAGGGAGTGCTGTGAATGATCTGTGTTCGGAACCGGATTTTGTTCAGTCTAGGTCTCATCCTGCTGCTGTTGCTGCTACCACCTAATGCTTTGCGACTCACTGACTTGCCCCCAGCTGACCCATCAGCCAAGGAGTGGTGGTGGTGGTGATCTCCCCCATCCTCCGGTACGTGAGAGAGTTTATATGTGATAAGATGTGAAGGGAGCACTTTAGAGAGCTTCCAGCGACCACCTCCACTATCCGAAGTGCTCTCTCCATCATCGTCTTCCAGGGCACCCACCAAGTTCTTGATCTCTTCTGCGATGCTTTGGTTCAGGTACTGAGAGGCCTTTTTCCCGCTGTAATCCCTAATGTCCACGTCTGCATCGTAGGCCCCCACCAGTAACTTCACCACCTCCACATGTCCGTGCATTGCTGCTAGGTGCAGAGCTGTATAGCCTGCGCTGGTCCTGGCGTTGATGTTTACCGGTAAGTGGTGCTTGTTGGCAAAGTTGACTAGCATGGCCAGGAGTTCCTGCTTTCCGTGTTTGGCGGCCCAGTGAAGGCAGGTGAAGCCAGTGATGAAATCACGCTTAGCCAGTAACCCAGGTTCGCAAGTGAGCAGTCCCTCCAAGCTGTCCCATTTACCATCCGAGGCAGAAAGCATCCAGGCATGTTCCAGAGGGTCCAAGGCCACCGACCCGGTTGCGCTTCCTTCCTCCTCGTTAGAAGACGAAGCCAGGGAAGCGGTGTCCGAGTCTCCACCACCTCTTGTGGCACGGCCCCCTCCAGTAGAGCCCCCCAGATTGTTTCCCCCAACAAAGAAGCTCCTCTTAAGCTGCGGGGAACTGCCTATCATTAGGTCCAGCAAATTCTTCCGGCCAGGTCTCGGAGTACTGACTCCTCCTGGGGAGCTGCAGTTGTCTCCCTCCTCCCAGTTTCTTGGGAGAGGCTCTGAGTCTTCCACACCGCAGGAACCCTGCGGCAGCCCCCGAAGCAGAGGTACATTGCGTCTAGAGTTCTTCCTCCGCGCCCCGACGCCCAGGGGCTGCACCTGCCCCAATCTCGGCAATTCATTCCTGCTGCTTTCACCCGAGACTAGTTGGGGTGGCGATTCCTGGTCTGCTGACGGTCCACTTTCCTCAGGGTTGCCCTCCGGGAGCGGGTGGTCCCCAGCCGAGGGAGGAGCGCTTCCCTCTGGTGACTCAGGCCCATTAGAGGTAGCCGGGTTAGCCCTGTCCAAAGAACCCGGGGCCTCCTCGAGCTCGGATGCTTCGGTCACCGAAATGCTGGGCACTACCTGGATAGATGCCTGCGGCGGTAACTGCTGCTCCCGTTCTTGCAACACAGGGTTAGGCTCCCCATTTCCGGGGGAGGCTGGTGGGCTCCGCGCATCCTCGTTTTTCAAGTCCGTCGGCCCGGCTGGAGGCGAGGGATGATGCTCACTGCCCGCCTCAGGCTCGCCGCCCTCAGGGATCTGGGGGGTCGGGGCCCCCGCGTGCAGTGGGGGAGGCGGACCACCGCCGCAGAACTTCTTCTTCAGGTACACGTACTTGGTCCCGTCCGCAGGGTCGGTTCGCACCGTGGCCACAGCGTTCACCAGCTGCTTGAAGTGCTCCCGGGCCCGGGCTCGTTGCTCGGGCTCGCCCCCCAGGGCCCCCCTGAAATGCTCCACCAGCTCCGCGTTGCGGGCTCGGCCCCCTCTTTGGGTGAGGAAGAGCAGCACCGCCTCCTGCCCGAGCTCCTCCATCCCTCTCCTCCCCTCCTCCTTTCTCCCTTGCAAAGGGACAGCGGGGCGGGAGGCGGCTCAGCCCGGCCCCATCGCAGGCGGGAAGGGTAGCTCGGCTAGGGGAACCTCCTGGAGAAAAGGGGGCGGTGGCTCAAATCCTGCGGGAGCTGGACTGCGGCCCCCAACACGCCGGCCGGCCCCGGGAGACCACGAACGTCTGCTCCTGCGCTTGGTGAGGCCGGCCCCAGTCGGTGCCTCTGGACAGACAGACGCCGTGCTGTCTGCAGCTGCCTCCCGCAGCGGCTGCCCGGCCACCACCTCTACTAGCAGCAAAAGCAACAGCAGCCACCCCAGACCCCGCCCCCTGCTCCCGCCGCCCCGCCCTTCCCCTGCCTCCCTCCCTGGCTGGCCCCTCCCCACGGGCTCCGCCTCACTTCCGGTCCCGCCCTCCGGTCTGCCAATCTCAGTCCCCACTAACTGTGGTTGCCGAGGGGGCTGTGGGGGAGGGGGCTGTGGGGGAGGGGGCGCACACATTCTTCCTACGTTCCCTTCATTGTTTTTACTCTAGACGTTCTCCCCGCTTTTAGAAAACAGACTCCGCCCCCCAACTCTTCCAGACTCTCTTTTGTCCTCCTCCCCTCTCCGAAACATCATGGGGTTCCCTGCCTCGAAGGGTGATTCGCGGCCTAGAACGGTTACGAAGGCGCGGATCCCTGCCGGGCCAGCACATGCCCCTCCCCCGGCCTCAGCTGGGCTCGCGCCCAGCGCCTGGTTGTCAGCAGCGTCACGCGAGCGCCCCCAGCTGGACAGAGCCTTCGCACACGAGGACCTGCCCTCTCCGGAGTCTCCCGACTTGGCCCCGCCCCGTTTCCCTCTCCTCGTGGAGGCCTTTCCGCTAAGGCCCCGCCTCCTCCCTCCCTCGGGCTACCGCCCTCAATGAACTCCGCCCGGGTCTCCCGAGCTCCTCGGGGCTCTGGCTCCACCCCTCTCCAGCCCCCGTGTCCCGCTCTCCTAGTCCCACCCTCCCCCGGAGGCTCGCTCCAGACTCCTTTGCGTCACCAGTTAAATTCCAGCTGCTGGGAGCCCCCGGGCGGTAGTCGCGACGCCTTCGGTTCCTCCCATTTCATCTCCGTTCTATTCTGCTCCGGGGCTTCCCCTGCACCCTCGGAGGCAGGAGGGCGCAGAAATTGCGGCTTATCCCGTATCCCGGATCCTGGCCAGCTGCAGGACATCCCCGGAGACCATGACTTCCTCCGATGTGGCGCGGCACACGGTAAGTGCTGCCTCCCGGGGCATCCTCACGGGAGTGGTGCCAATGCCTCCGTGCGCCCCCAGAAGTGGGAGGCTGGCGGGGCGGCGGCGACTGCTCTGCGCCCAGGAGGGGGAGGCTTCGTTCCTTGGCTGCTCTCTTCTGCAGAGTGGTCAACTTCGGAGACCCCCAACTCCCTCCCTCCCCGGGAGTCACCCTGTACTTGGAGCCCCGTCCGACAGGGCTCTCCTCTGGGGAATCTGCCTTCTTTCCTCCCTGCCCACCCTCCGGCTCGCCACTCAGCCTGTTTCTTTTGCTTCCATCACAACTCCGTCAGCTTTGCTTATTGTCACCCGAACCTCGTCTTCCCCCCTCCCCCCGCAATTCCTTTACTTCCAAGCGAGCTCAGGGGTCTCCCCACTAGCAGGGGAGAAGGGGCGCGTGCCGGCAGACAAAGCCCCTACAACCGGGAAGCGGGGAAGCCTCCTGAGTCCGGGAGCAGGAAACTTTTTCTCTCTTGCAGAAACGGGTGGGAGCGGTCTGTGTTGATTAGGTTGCGGGCCTTTAACAGAAAGCGGTGCAGGGATATTAACTCAGATGAGATGTCCAAACTCTCTTCTTTCTACCACAGTGCATTATTATTAGGACAGACCTGACTACTTGGTGCAAGCTGTAATTAAGAAGGCAGCCTTGAGCGATGGAATTAGGAGGGTACTTTTGTACTCTGTGTGTTAGGGCTTTTAGGAAAGAATGGAATGGAAGTTTGCCCACGTTGATGTTGGATAGTGGCCTATTCTCCTGTCTGTGGAAAAAATAAGACCTGAAATCTTGTGCTATCACGCATTTGCTTAAAATTTTATGAGTATGGAAAATATATCGTGCAGTTTCTGAGAGTGGAAAGTTTAACTTGCAAATTTAATGTAAGTAATAACATGTTTGCATGAACTTCAATTTCTTTTGTTACCTATAGGAGAAAGCCCAAACTTGTTATCCTGGTATTCAGGGCCCAGTTTACCCTCTGGCCATTTCCATTGTAACAGTGCTCTTTTTGGGATTTACTGGGCTGCTCTTAGACCGTATTTTTTATGGTGCCTTTGCCCTTTTCCCATGCCTGGTATCTTTTCTGCAAATCTGGACAGTTCTTTAAGGCTGGGATCCCTTTATGCTTCAATAAAAAGTGCAAATATTTATTAAGTATCTGCTACAGGCAGGGCATTGTGTTAGGAATACAAAAGTAGAAAAAAAAAGAGTACAACCCCAGTGCTTGATTAGTCTGTCTCTTTCTTTCATCACAGAAGTATGCAGTAGGGTAGAATGTATAAAAACAATACCAGACCGAGGGGCAAGCCCAGTGCAGTGGTCTAAAATAGAGAGCTTTAAACTTCATAAAGCACTTTAACATAGGTGAATCTCCTTTTATTCTCCCAATAGCACTGTGAGGTAGTTCTTGAAGGAGGTTTCCCCATTTTAAATATGAAGAAATTAAAACCCAGAAATTAAGTAAATGTGACTTAGGATCATAGAGATTTAGAAGAGATCTCAGATCATCTAATGTGACCTCTCGTTTAGGAGATGAGGAGACTGAGTCTTAGGGGAGGTCAAGTAACCTGCCTAATGTTACACAGACAGAAAGCTGGGGCCTGAGGTGGATTTGAATTTGACTTCCCAGAGTCTTGGCATTTTTCCAGCACACTCTCCACTATTTCTTGCTGCCACTTTGAACTATGTAAGCTAAGAGAACGTGAGGAGCTAGATATTACATAGCTTACTTTTATATATCACCCTAAGGTTTGCAAAGCCTGTGCTCTGTAACACTATTTTAACTTAATTTTTCATTTCTTTCCCTTCATTCAAAAAGGATGAAATTTCCTACACTGTACATTTTTTAAAAATCATGCTTTGTTTTATAGCACTTTTCTGAGTTCCCATAAGATTGTGAGATCCTTGAGAGCAGACTTTTTGTTTTGCCTTTCTCTGTATAGTAAAGAGCTCAGCAGCTGTCTGTCACATTGTTAGTGCTTAATAAATGCTAGTTGACTGTCTGACTACCCTAAAAGTAGAGTTCTCTCACTTTAGATTTGAAAACATGTGCATATAAGCATGGTGTAGTGGAAAGAGAGCCCTTGGAAATGGAGTCAGTTGAAATATGGATTCAGTTCCTCCTTGACTTTTTAGCCAGATGGTTATGCTCAGTCACTTGACTTTGCTTTCCTCATCAGTAAAATGGGAATGTAATGTCTACCTCATAGACTTTTTGTGAGAATCTAGATAATGTTATGCTCTCATAGATTATAATTTATAAATTTATAAAGTTGAAAGATCCTTGGTGACCATCTCATCTAACCTTCTTTCACAGATAAGTGCTTTGGGGACTTTAGAGTGTCTATACAAATGTTAGTTATTATTCTCATTGGATATTCAGAGTAGTACAACTAAATGCTGATGAACAAATGAGAGGTTTAATTAGACCTGGATGTCTAGTTTAGTTTCCACTATAACTTTCACAGGTTATAAAAATCTGCTATATAAAAATCTGTTCAACTTGCTGCCCTCTTTGATCATTTAAGCTTCAGAAACATCTTAATCTAGAACCCTTATTCATACCTGAATCAAGTCAAAACTTAGTCCAATTGAAGCGTTCTATACTAATGCTGATTTTTGTATTTCATGAGTATGCCTGGTTTCCTTTGAGTCTGACTTGGATTTTAAAAATCAATTTAATATCTCTGTGTGTAATTTAAGTGTTTTTGTGAGCCAGATGATAACTAAAGGTAGGGTTTGGAAGGTATTGTTCTGGGTATTTTTTTTTTTTGTCTGGTCCTTTGTTTGGGGAATGTCTTTTACAGGTTAGGGATTAAATCTTACAGCCTATTTTTCAGAGTTGGAACTAAAATCCAAGTTTTCCTGACTCTAGTGATACCGTTTTCTATCAGTATATACTATACTGTCTCTCATGTTTATTGCTGACCTCTGTGATTGCAGCAGGACTTTGTGTTTTTTAAAGTCCTGAATGCAATTTATTGCATTTTCCTGTCTTTGGAGAGCTACTTATAATTTTCCATCAAATGACAGTTTTGTGTCCATTGACTACTTCTGAATAGTGTTATAGAAATCTCAATTTCTATTTCAGTTGTTGCAAGCCTTGGATTCTCTCGTTCTTTTTCATTTCATTTTTAGTTTAATAGGTATCTGCTTAATTGAAAAGCTTTCACAACTATTTTCTTAATTTTCTCTTTTCACCCTCAAATACTTTGTCAAATTACAGAATTCATGCAAATTCCTGCATCTACACCTTTTTGCTTTGATTATCAGACTATTTTAGCTACCCTGTCCTGTCTCCCCTCACACCTCCCTCCCCCCTCCCCCAATCCAATTCCTAGCCAGCCTTCCAGGTCTGTCTCAAATCTCACCTTCTCCGTGGAAGCTTCTCTTACCACTTCAGCCATCAATGATTATAGTACTGTCTCTTGCCTATGAACTCACAGCACTTAATGATTGTTACCCTTTATCTAGTACTTGGTCACATACTCCTTTATGACATCTTTTGTAATGTCATTATTGACTTTATGTGTATATGGTTTTTCTCCCCAGTAAATTTGTAAACAACTTGAGGGCAGGAAAAGCTATTAGTTTTGTTCTGAAGATAGCACCTTACTCCTGGATGGTATTTGCTGAATGAATAAATTATCAATTCTTTACAAGCAACCAAGGACTTTAGTTTGTCTGTTCTTTAAACTCCTCTAGTGTCATACCATCATTGTGTGCTGTCAGTATTTTCTAGTTTATTCTAATTCTTTATCACATGCTAGCTCTTTTTTTTTCATAAAGGAAAGTTTGATATGTAAATAAGTAGGCACAGAAAATATGCATCTTTGTTGAGGTAGAGTATGTTGACATAGAGGGCACTGGAAATAACCTGAATCCCCAAATGTAGAGGATCTTCATAATGCCCTAGTAGCCTGTCTTTGCATAGGGGATAGAAACTGGTATGTATCAGGTGCTTGTGTTTAACTGAGTTGGCTAGGGCATTCTGTTAATGAGACTGTTTGTTGGCTCAGAGCATAAGACTGATCGTTCAATCTCCTTTACTTTTTAAATGATTTAAAACAGAAAATTTTCCAGGATCGTGGAGTACACCTTAATCCCAATAAGATATCTTGCTAAGATATATGTTGCTATTCATAAGGGATATTTGGAAAAGTGAATAGTGCAATCCACCACAGCAATTGAAACAACTTAAAACACATTTATGTCTTTTTTGTATGGCTGTCTTATGAGAAATACAGGATTTGAATTTTTAGCACAGTGTTATTGGACTTTATATTATATTGCAAATTCAATTTAACTTGTAACAGGAAACAGTAGATTGAATGAGGGTGGGGTGGGGAGCAAGGGACAGTTCTGTTCCTAGCATCATTGCTAGATGTGTGATTTTGGGCAAGTTAACAAACCATTAGTGCTTCAGTTTTCCTCTGTGGAATGGAGTTCATAATTTTTCAACTAATATGGAAAGATTAGTGGAATAATCCTCACAAAAAGTCTTACTCTAATGCCTTTATTGTGCAGTGTAGGTAACTCTGTGCTTTTGAATGTTCGCCAGTGGAATGGAAACTCTAGCAGGTCCTATCAAGTCGGAGACTTTTTTTTTAGATTTGAAAAGTTTTGCTATAATTAACTTGTTGGTAGAAAAATAGTAGATTACCAAAGGATCTCCTATTACATGTTACATTTTGTTCAAAATGTTTAACTCCTACTTATTTTTATTAATTTATTTTGATTTATCAACAATCACTTCCATAAGCTTTTGAGTTTTAAATTTTTCTCCCTCCCTCCCCACCTCCCTCCCCAAGATGGTGGGCAATCTGATATGGGCCATACATATACATTCTTATTAAACATATTTTCACTTTAGTGATGTTGTAAGGAAGAATTAGAACCGATAGGAGGAACCACTAGAAAGAGGAAACAAAACACAACAGAAGAAAAAAAATAGCAAATAGTATGCTTCAATCTGCATTCAAACT